CTAATTTAAACCCTGTCCTTTTTGGTTTAATTATGAAAAACATTTTCCATGGGTCATTGGGTAATCATTTCCCTACCGAAGTATTTTTAATGCTGTTCCATTTTCATATGATATCTATAATACTCATTTCCCCGAATTTAATTAAGGCAGTCTTCAAAGCTTCTAAGACTTGTCAAATTCATGTAATAAACAGATGAGCTAATGTATGAGCAGGACTCTTCATTTGATGTCTTATATTCAGACCTCATTGCGTGCCATTTTTATCTTATTTTAAAACGGATGGGCAACTGTTGCACTGAGGAGAATTTAGTGGCCCTTGTAAATAACTTGTAAATTCTTTGAAAACTTTAAATTTTTCTCTCCCCTTTCTTTCTTTGTGTTTAACTCATTTAATTTCTTTTAATTGCCATTGTAATGCATACTCTATATATTTTATGGATGTAGTGATCCAAGACATCAATAACTCATGAATGCAGGGAGACCTGGGGAACCAGGCCACAGGTCAGCAAACATGCAAGGAAGGTGGGGGAGGGGGGGCTTTATGAAGCCCCTTAGATTTCCCTTAGATTTTGCTTGCAGGGAAGGTCAAAAATAGTGATATTAATAGATTTAATAATTTGGTAGAAAACGTTTTTTTCTTTAAGGTGTTGGATGTTAAAAGAATTATTCATAGATTTAATAAGCATAGAAAAATGAATTTAAATTGTTTTAAAATGATGTTTGTATTGAAATATCGTAACAGGAGAAAATTTAGAAGAAAATGAGAGATAAGATATTTGTTGAAATGTATTTTTTTTTAAATCAGCAAAAGATACGGAGGAGAATAGATTGAAAACACCATTGGTGATACACTTTGAAGTAATTTGAAGCTAAATAATTGAATAAGAGATCTTGGAGTGGAGGAAAATATAAAGCAAGATTCTGGTGATCAGTGAAAGAAAAGCTGAGACCCAGCCTTACAAATAGGGTAGGAGTGGAGGAAAGCATCATACTGGAGAACAGTCAATGCAAACTGGGAACCAGTTAAAAATAAAAATAGGAGTTAGGAGCGGAGGAAATATGCGCTGGAAAGCAGTTAAAGCAAAGCTGTAAACCGGCCAAAATACAGTTAGGAGTGGAGGAAAGCATACGCTGGCTAACAGTTAAAGCAAAACTGTGAACTAGCAAAAGATAAAAAGGTAGGCGTGGAGGAGACTATACCTGGGGATCAATTGAAATAAAGTTGTGAACCAGTTAAAAATAGGGGTAGGAGTGGAGGAAAGCATTGCTGGAAGGCAACCATCTGAGTTGTGAACCAATTTTACATTAGATTTAGGAGGAGTAAAGGAGAAGGTTGGTATGCAGTTAAAATTATACTGTGAACCAGCCAAAATAATTAAGGTAAGGAGTGGAGGAAGTATTGCTGGAAAGCAGCTGATTAAGATGCGAACCAGCTCAAAAATAAACCTAGGAGGAAGTGGAGAGACATTATTGGAGAATAGTAATTGAACTGTGAACCAGTTAAATAAACGGAGAAAGGAATACTGGAAATTATAACTGGGAAATAGATATTTAAACCATGAATCAGTTAAACAGCTGGACTAATAGAATTTGAGAATAAATTTGAAGTATTAAGGTAAAATATTTTGGAAGTAATAAAATATAGAAAGAAGTGTTGATTTATTTCAAAATGATTTTAAGAGAGGAGGAAAATATTTTTTCTCAAGAATTGGATAGCTGTTGTAATTTAAGAGAGATAAAATATAGTTTTGAGGCAATGGGTTTTAGGATTGAGGAATATATATATGAAATATTAATTGTTAAAATGATAAGGATTTAGAACGGTGTTTATTGTTTAGAATTTTGGGTGTTATAGTAGAATGATAAATGTTTAGAATAAGAATTTTGGTTTTTATTATTATTATTATTATTATTTTCTTCTTAAAGATTTTAAAATTTGGAACAAAATTGATTGAGGGAATGTGAATAATTGTACTTATTTTAAGCCGGACCAAACCCCTGCTCTAAAAAGATGTATTTTATGTTTTATGCTAAAAAAAATAAAAAAAAATAGTGATAATGTAACCATGGGACACTGCAACTGTCATAAGTATGAGCTGGTTGCTTAGCACACAAATCGCAACTATGTGACTGCGGGGATGGTACAACAGCTGGAACTTTGAGAAACTAGTAGTCAGTACTTCAAGGACTACAGATTAAGACAGAGACAGCTTTTCTGGAGGGGAAACCTTCCTGATTTGTGTTCATAACTTGCAATTTCAAACCCTAACCTGAAAAAAAAAATTACACACATTATTCTTGTCTTTCCAACTTAGCATCTTTTATCTTCAAATAAGCATGTGTAACTTTGGATTCAAAATGTTTGTTCTGTAAATTGGAGGTGGGATGAGGTGGTCTGCATGCAGTTTTGTGCAGTCCCACATGATATTCCTTTCCTGTAAACATTGATCTTGGCAGCATAAGAGTGTCAGTTCAAATATGCAGAATCTTTTTTTTTAAATGAACTGCAGTTTCTATAGTAACTATTCTATTTTCTAGTAAATGCTTACCTGAGCTTTAGAAAGAGAAGTTGGATGTAATGAATATAAAGGATGCTGTAGAGGTGACTACAAGCAAAGGGTAAAACAGTAGCTTTAGATAAAGACTATGCTAAGCTTTCTCCAGCTGTTTGATATTTATCACAATGCACAGCTTGGTTGAACAGCTGTTGTTTTAAACAGAAAGGAAAATTTGCCATAATCCTTTGTAAGTGAATTTCAAAGTCTGTAAGAGATCACATTTTTTGGATATGAATGATTTCTTCTGAAAACCAATTTTAAATATAATTCAAATTACTAATGAATTCTGAGATGTCCCATCTCAGTGGAGCATGAATTATCACATCAAATATTATATTTGATGGGAAAAATGAAGATATCATTTTGATGGACTCAAACCTATGTCTTTCACAAAACCTGCACCAAAGATTCTGATTATGCTTACTTATCACATCTTCAAGGACTTCCAGTACAAATAAAATAAAAATATGAGAAATATTTCATTTGCTATGTTCAATCCATCTTTTCTGCATATAGCATCTCTGATGTTTATAATGCTGTTATTTTGCCTAAATGCTTTCAGGAAACTTCCTTGTTATCAGCAAATTATAACAGTGGCACATTTATTAAAAAAACGTTGCTGCTACTGTAGCTGTTCTGATTATAAAGCTATTTATTAGATGGCATACATTTTGGCTTCAGGTAGTTTTTTAACAGAATGTAAGGAAAATGAAAGAATGTTGCCTTATGGCACGGAAGCTGTGAATCCTTGTTTAAGCACTAAGCATGAAATAATGGACTGATTTAGCTCCTTTCCCTGCATTCACTTTGCAGAAATCTATACCTTAGCTCATCTGAGGTAGATGGAAAATTGCAGAAGACAGAGGAGAATATTCCTCCTCTGGGGATTTTATTAGATAGATTACTGCATTACTATTAATCTTCTCATCGTTCCTATCACCCATCTCCTCCCACTTATGACTGTATGACTGTAACGTTGTTGCTGGTATCCTTACAATTTATATTGACTGTTTCCTAATATGATTTGATTATTTGTTCCCTATGACTATCATTAAGTGCTGTACCTTATGATTTTTGACGCATGTAATTTTTCTTTTATGTACACGGAGAGCGTATGCACCAAGACAAATTCCTTGTGTGTCAAACCACACTTGGCCAATAAAGAATTCTATTCTATTCTATTCTTAAAATGAACCAGAGAGAGTCACAATTGCAAAACAAGTATTTGAGAATTTGCAACTATAAAATCTATATATTTAGATTTCAGCATGTGCATGTGTCTGTGTATGAACTGGTTATTTTAGTCATAATCCACCAGGAAATTTCAGAGTAAGAAATTAGAAAAGCATCTTTTAAAAAGGCAGTGGCAAACCACTTCCATGTTATTGCCAAGAAATCTTCAAAGCCATTCCATGTAATTACCAGGAATTAAACTCAATGGTAGAAAACCTTTACCTTTCATTTATGTGTTTTCATCCCCTTGGTCTGATTATTTTAAATGTTCTCCTATAGTATGATGAAGAGTTGTGTTTATGAAGATTTTATAAACATTCCTATCTTTAATGGGATACCTTGTGGTCCAGAGTTTCTGATTTTGTGCTATGCAGAAGTAGTTTAGATAGGACAAAACTAGGAAAGAGCCTGCAGGAGAGAAATGAAAGCAGAGCAGCCAATCTCCAATTGAATATGTGGAGGGAAAGGGAACAGGGCTTTTCTTGGATTGGAACAATTTCTTAAAGATTGGATAGTCCAATCATGAGATGACTACGGCCTGATGACTGAGTACAGGGAGTCCTGATCTAGGAAAGGCCACAACATGAGGTTGTGCAAAGGTTCTCCTAGCTGCAACTGCCACCTGTTCCTCAAGTCAGAGTTGGAGTCCAGGATAACCCCAAGTTATGGTCCAGATCTGTCTTGGGCCATTCCATCTCATCCAGAGTCAAAGATGGCAACATCTCAAATGCCAGAGCCCCATGTAACCAAACCATTTGGTCTTCCCAGGGTTCAGTCAAAGCCTTTTGTCCCCCATGCAGGTCCCCACAGGCTCCAGGCACCACAAGAGGGTAGGGTAGCCATAGCATTGCTTGGCTCATCAAGAGTGAAAATATAGAATTGAGTATCATCAGCCTATTGTAGATACCTCAACTGGTGGTGTAGTGGCAGATATTTTTTTATCAGGGCACAAAGAAAAAAAATATCTGGTGCAAACTCCACATAAGCACCAGGAAGGGCATTAAGGAATTACAGGGTCATAAAAAGGTATGTGGCATAACATTATAAGGAAAAATAAAAACTATAGCTTTCATTTCTGTGATGATTCTAGCTAGAAGAATTAGCTTTCCACCTTACCATATCTAGCATAATTCATTTTTACTTTCTCCCAAAGTGGCCCACATGTAAAATGCCAAAATAATATACTGACTAAATTTTAACTTATTTTAGTGCCTTTAAGTGATGAAGAGGATGGAAGCATGCTATTTGACAATATGACTAAATCTGCCATTGATCCCTTTGACACATCTTCTGGATCTGTACAGTTGATTGCAATAAAGCCTGTAGCTTTGCCTCCTGCACACCCAGGAACAGACAGGACCCAAGATACAGCTATTCTTAATGGGGAGGTAAGAATATATCTCATAATTGGTTTTCTGTTATATGTTGAGCTGTGGTATATCTGTTAAAGAAGTGATATGAGGAGGGAATGCTCAATAATGTGACTACTAAGCCAATTGGTGACTTGGCAGCAAAGACAAAAAAATGTGTGTGGAATCGTCCAGTGATTCTGGCAACAATTCTGAGAGGCAGACCAAAGAAATTAAATTTCAGACTGTCCTTTGTTCCAAATATGTTTTCCTCTGTTACCTTGTTGAAATGATAAATATGCACCATTCTTAGAGGAGAAATTCTTTTTTTTCTTCTCCATCTGTACTTAAAGTACAACAATGTTAGAGGCTTCTCAGAGCCTGGGAAAGTAGATAACAGTTTGCAGTGCACTATTAGCTCAGAACAATTGCACATTCTCCTGTTATCAGTAAAACAGTTAGGATCTCTCTTGTCCATCCAACAATTGATAGCAAGGCGATTAAGAAGTCCCTGACTAGGCAAAATTAAAGATAAATTGTGCGTTAAAAGTATCCAGTTGTCTACATTTTTCTGTAATCTAATCTCTTTTCTCTTTCAATAAAAAAAAAAAGCTTCGTGAAAATCTTGTTTTCTGTTACCAAGAGCTTGACACATAGTGTCAAATGGAAGGAAAAATATGTCTCATAGATTAATCTTGCATCAAATTAATTGCAGCAAATGTGTGTAAATGTATACAATGAAAAAGTAATGCTAGTTCAGTTTCACCATTAAATAGGTGAAACTCAAGTACAATTATTTTTCTTTGTTTATCTTTACACATAGTAAAACAGTTTGATTGTTAACAAAGAAGATCAGCTTTTAGAAGGGAAACAATTTTTAGATGATGAAATGGAAGGATGGCAAATGTCTATAGTTTTATTGTATGTAAATGTTTTATTGTATGTATGTATTGTATGTATAAAATGTAGCTTTTACGTAGAGAGCTTTTGGATAATGAATATGAAACTCTGACTCAAGATTATATTATGAAAATTTCCATAGATATCATATTCTAAATTATGAAAGAAAGCCTAAATATATCAGTGCATAAAATCGTGAACATATTCCCCTGTGTGGAAGTTAAAAGAAAACAAGAGGATAAGAAGGATAATGAAGCTTACTGCAGGTTATGTACATATGTTAAGATGTTTTGCTTAAGGAGGACATTCCAAGGGGATTTTTTTTACTGCATCTATTCTTCTCCTAAATTACCATCTATAAAGTGTATATTCCCTTCAACTATGCCTTGATATGTGAATGTGTAATCACATTCTTCTTTATTCTTAAATAATCTTTCAAAACTCTGCTGAAATTTGTTCTTTTGACCTCTGCTGTGACAAGGTGATTTGACCATTTTTAATCAGTATCTTTGCAGCCTGAAGTTTACACAAAAACTGCCCAGTAACTTATAGTTATTTGGTTCTACGTTGCATGGTTTATACTGTGGTTATATTACAGTGCATTATATTGAGCATCTAAGTTGGGACATGGCATAGACCACTAGTGTTGTTTACTGATACTGAGTTTTGACATTCTTCTTCTTCCTGTGCCATATCCGTCATCTGACATTGACGATCATGTTAGCTATCCTATTTTCATCAACAGCTGCATGAAAAAGTGCTGATGAGTTTTGTCCAAACCAGTCCCTTAGATTTTGAAGGCATGAGTTTTGACATAGTTGCATGTAAAAATTTTGTAATTCAAAATCAATTTTTGGGCGGGATTTTTTTCTCCACTTTTTCTTGCAGAATTCTTCTAGCTCAGAAATATTCTTGGATCTCCTGTATATTCAAATTCTTCTACAAATTTAGATTACTATTCAAATCAGGGGACTATGAATGCCATTCCAAACTTTTATCCTTCTTTCTTGTAAATATTTTGTGGTTGATTTATAGATATGTTTCAGACTTGTCTTGCTGAACTATCCAAGCTTTATTATTTCTTTTAGTTTTATTGATTATAGGGCATGAGCTTCTACAGATTCAAGTGACTTATGTAAACAATCATCTGCAAATGTTCCTATTATCTGTGAGGATAGTTGCCTCTTTTCTAATGTACCTAAGGTCATGGGAATCCTGAGAAAAGGATTCTTATCACCATCAGCATATTCTATACTGAGATACATTGGTTCTAAATTGAAAATAGTTGATAAGAATTTGCTGGAATTCGATCACTTTCCCTTTCCCCTTAATAAATTGTATTAAAGAACATTCTGTAATTCCCTTTAGTTATTTGAAAACTCAGAGTACTCTTTTCAAATGCTTCACTCAAGAAAAATATTATGTGATTGAATATGAAGGTGCAATTTTTGTTTCCAAGTAAGCCCAAAGCACTTAAGAGCCCAAATGGGCCATCCTGAGTTGACTGGATGGGCTGTATAAGTTTAATTAATTAATAGAATAAAATAAACAAGTGTTCCATGTTTATCAGGGGTTTCTTTGCATGTTTTAGTGTATTTTTGTGGTGAAATAAATTGAATTCTGACAGCTTTCCTATGTATATGTAGTCCTGTGCAATGGATCTACAGACAGTTTCTCCAGTTAAAACTTTCATCTGCTGTGATCTGTGGGTTCTATTCTGCATGTAACTTCCATTTCTTAATCACGTTCTCATAATTGAAATTGCCATCTGGAAGCTTTTAGAGATTTTTAATAAGTCTTCCCTGGGTTTTTAAGAGTAAATACTCTTTTTTTTCAAATGTTCAATTGCTTAGAGGATTCATGATTGTTGAAAATAGGCAACAACAAAAGGTTAGAAGATCAGGGCATTTGTTCACCAGTATTATTCTCTTCACCTGGTAGTTGTAGGCCTAACTAGTCAATCACCATTTGAGACCTGTTAGCAGTTCTGTAGTTTTTTTTTTAAAGCAATGGAATTTTTTTAAAGCAATGGAATCCAAATGCCCTTTGTCTTCCATATTCACTTTTTATTTTGAATAAGTAAATGGAAGCATCTAAATAGTAAACATGCATTCAGATTTGCAGAAAGATATCATATTTAACTATGTAACTCATTGAGATTGCACTTGTTTAATTAGAAATACATTAAAACCAGGGGTGGGTTCTACTTACCTTTACTACCGGTTTGCAGCAGGGCCGTGTGCACGCTCTCTTCTGTGCATGCGCAGAAGCGTTTTGATGACATCGGGGTCGGTGGGCGGAGCCTTCCGCCGGTTTTACTACCAGTTCTATACAACCGGTGCGAACCGGGGCAACCCACCATTGATTAAAACATATAATTTGACCAAGGTTGTTGCCTAAGTGTTAGCATTAAACTGTTACTGATTCGGTACTCTTTTCCATTTTTAAAAGATTAATATAAGCAATGGATCTGACACTGCTGCCTTAATTAGGATTGAGTGCTCTCTACATTTATGTGGAGCATCACACTTTATCTGAAAACCTTAAAAAAAATTGTTAAAAAGTTCTCAATAGTGTGGTTGAATGAACTCCAACCGTGTTTGTTGTTTCAGAGAATTAGTCACCTTAAAAACTCATCGTCTAATTTTATTAATTTGTATATTTTCCCTTTTAAATTTTATTGTCAGATTAACAAAGCCTTGAAACAGAAGTCTGATATAGAACACTATCGCAACAAATTGCGATTGAAAGCAAAGCGGAAAGGCTATTATGATTTCCCACAAATTGACAACAAGGGCTTGGCAGATAGAAAAAAGATGTATGAAAAAACACAAAATGAAATAGACCATATTCTGGATCCTGATACAGATGGATCCTCTCCATTTGTAGAGCCCAAAAACAGGTGAGTAGCTTTTCAATGTATATTTGTAGAGTGTCATGCTAATCTTCATGTTTCATAAAAAAGACAAAATGTGCAAATTGCTGTCTTGGTGTTATATGGTAGGTGTTAATGTGAAGTGACAAGTTCATTTGCATATGAATAGTGTTTTTATGGTGTGCCATCCTCTGCTGAATGAGTTGTCATATTTTTAGTTGATAGGTGCATCATTTTTGAAGTAATGAAAGTGGAACAAGATGTTAATTTTTAAAAGTTGAAAAGCAGTATGTTTAAATGGAATAGTGCTCTATCTTTTCTGTTGATTGTGACTGAAAATTTCTGTTACTTCCTACTATTAAGAGTGGAATAAGGGCCCAGCCCAAATAATTTCTCTCCTATTCTGTTATAGCATTCATAAAAACAGGATGCAAAAAATAAAATAAAGAAGTCAGTTTTCAGGGTATTAGTCAGTAGAGATCTTCATTTTATAATGTAGTGATAATACTGCAAAACAGTATTATCTGTTATAGGGATCTGCTTAACAGCTTGTGAGTTAGACCTGACATGCATAGCAAAAGATAAAATAGTTACTGAATTATATGGAAAGCCTTTTTAAAATTAATACAGATTACTGTAGAAATATAAATGAACAATGAATATGCATATAATCTATGTAAAGAATATGATGACGTAATTGAATCATAACTAAAAAATTAGAAAGAATCAAATGTGTAAAAATCCTCCAATCTGTTTTGCATAATATTTAAATATTATATTATTACCTATGTGGAAATTTATTTGCTTCCGCAGATTGTAGAAAAAGACCATGGAAAATATTTTTCAACATAAACTTTAATGTTTAATTTGTTACATTAGAAAAATAGATTGTTATTAAGTGACAGTGGTTGTTAAGCAGTTTCATGAAAAAATGAAAGTAAAATGTGGCCATGTGATTGGGGGACATTTCAAACAGCCATAAATGGAGTGTGGTCATGTGATCATGGGGGGGAGGACAACCATTGCAACTTCAGATACATCATAAGTCTGCTTTTTCAAGTAGATTGTAACTTCAAATGGTCACTAAGCAATTGGTTGTAAGTCAAAGACTACCTGTAATCAGTGGTGGATTGCTCCTGGTTTGCACCGGTTTGCAAGAGCCAGTAGTAAAAATTTGTAGTAGTTCAGAGAACCGGTAATAACATTGGCTGGCCACGCCCCCAAACCGGTCCCCAGCCCAGTCGCCGCTTGCTTACCCTGCCCACCTCATCAGAGGATTTTTTTTTTAACTTTTAAAAGCATTTTTTCTACAACCTCTTCATCCGAAGAGGTTGTAGAAAAAAAAATGCCTTTAAAAGCCTCTGGCAATCCCAGCTGAGTTGCCTGATCATCAGAGGCTTCTAAAAGCATTTTTTTCTGCAACCCCTTTTTAGAACCCACCCCTGCCTGTAATTAAAAAATACGGTTCTTAAAAAATGAGTGAAAAAATACAACAGAAAAAGATAATATAAAGTATAACATATTGTTGAAATAAACAGTTATAATGCTATAAATAATTATTATACACACACATATCTGTGCATATTTGTGTATTCATTTCTAATATACTTATATAGCTGTCATTTTTTAACCTATATTATTTTGAATATGTGAGTTCCATATTTTGTTGTATTTATCCATACAAAGTTTATATCTATATGTAATCCTGTGTTGTCCCACTCACTCAGATGCATTCATAACGGTGGTTTAGTGGGTTTATTAATATTCCCCAGCAATTCCTTTCACCAAAACCCCAGAACTATCCCAATTAAGTCTAGCCAAAAGCAAACCAACGCTAGTCTATAGAGCAATGGCCAATGAGTCCACAAGGCACTTGAAAGTTTCCCAAACAAGATAAACCCAGTAGGCAAAATTAAATCCACAACACAAGAGGATTCATGAGGCAAGAAAAGTCCCAGAGTTCGCAAGGCATGATCCAAAGTCAAGGCACACAGCTAGGAAAAGAATAAGTTCCTAGCATTGCCTCCATCTGTCTGCTGTGCTAAATAGCCAGCTCCTGGTGCAGCCCATCAAGAAGGGTGAGGCTGCTTCCTCTCGAGGAATCGGGCTGACCTTCACTGCTTTTGCCTTTCTCTCCTTACGTGTTCTTGTATCAGGTGCAGAAGGCAATTCCTCATTGCTGACCAGCTGCAGCTGCAAGCTTTCCCCATCTGAAGCCTCAGGGCTGTCCTGCTGCAGCTGTGTTTTCCCTTTCAGATGGCTGCTCAGAGCCATTGACTCCCCTCTGTATGTGCCTGGATCTTGTTCATCTTCCTCCGAGCTGATATCTGGAGAGGTATCTGGGGAAGCAGGAAGAGTTATCACAAATCCAGTCATAAGTAGCAAGTGTAATCAGATCTTCAATCCATTGATTAAATGGGACTATACATTTATATTTCCAATGTTGCATTATGAGTCTTTTAGCTGATAAGTGTATGAAGAATTGATTTATGTTGCCCAGTTGTACAATGTACTAGTTATTTAATTCAAAGATTATTATCTTCTGAAAATTATAATTTTTTTAGGTACATTTATATCTTTTGCTATATTCACCCAAAACATCTGACATAGGACAGTGTGAAAATAACTGTTTTAAAGAAGCATTATCCTTCTTATATCTCTAACCCAGTGGTTCTCAACCTTCCTAATGCCGCAACCCTTTAATACAGTTCCTCATGTTGTGGTGACCCCCAACCAGGGGTGGGTTCTAAATTTTTTTACTACCGGTTCTGTGGGCATGGCTTATTTTGTGGGTGTGGCTTGGAGGTCATGTGATCGGGTGGCCATGGCTATATGTATAGGGACTACTCAGAGGGCTGAAAAAAGTCATTTCTGACAGGTCCTCGCACTTTTGACTGGTCCTCACACTTATGACCATCCTCACATTTATGCCTGTGCAGCATTCTTAACAAACATGTCACTCATTTCACAACTGCTTCTCTTCAACATGGTATAAGATAGGGCAAAAAACGTAAAATGTGAGGACAGTCGTAAATTTGAGGACTGGTCAAAAGTGCGAGGACCAGTCAAAAATAACTTTTTCACCCTCTGAGTAGTCCCTGTGCACAAAAGGACTACCCAGAGGGCTGAAAAATGTGATTTCTGACAGGTCCTCACACTTTTGACCTGTCTTCGCAGTTATGACTGGTCATCATTTATGCCCATTGTACCATTCTTAACAACCGTGTCACTCATTTCACAACTGCTTCTCTTCACCATGGTGACAAGATAGGGCAAAAACGTAAATTGTGAGGACAGTCGTAAGTTCGAGGACTGGTCAAAAGTGCGAGGACCAGTCAAAAATAACTTTTTCAGCCCTCTGAGTAGTCCATATGCATTAAAGGATACAGCAATAGAGAGGGATGAAGGAAGGGAAGGGAAATTAGAGTAGGAGTGAGGGTAAGAGAGGGAGGAAGAGAGGAGGAGGAGAAAGAAAGAGGAAGTAGGGAGAAGAAGAAGAGGGGGGGAAGAGAAAGTAAGAAGGAAAGAAAAGACAGAGGTGGTAGGTTTGAGGAGAAAGATTGCTGTACAATAAAAAAGATGAAAGGGAAGAAAGCCAACCCCAAACAAATATAAAGATATTAAGATAAAGAATGAATTGTTAAACTTTAAAGAATAAAAGAGAACAAATAGCAATAAATAGCAATAATTAGAAACACACATACAATCATACAACGTATTTTCTTTGAACAGAGTATTTGGCCGGTTCACAAATTTAAACAGTTGTAGGAGGTTAGCACTCACCCCTTTCCTAGAAGAATGAAATATTTTGGGAAATATTGAAAAGGCAGAATATTATATTTCCCTGGATGAGAAATGGAGAAACATATTTTACAGACAAAGCAGCTCCCACCTTCCTGCCCTCTACCCTTTGTTAATGGGCCAGAAGCAGAAAGTCAATCCTTTGTCAAAGGACATTTGCAACACAATAGCAACAGAAACTAACACAATGGGCCCCATCTAGCAACCCAAACTCACCACACATGACCTGGGAAGCATGTGACCTGGGAAGCACATGTGACCATCAGCCAGCAAGGCTAGCTAAGACCCCCACCCCCTGGGAGTCTGACAACCAATCAGGATACTCTTTCGGGGCCCCAAGAAATGCAAAGCCAGAGAGAGCATAAAAACCTGAGGATTTACTGTATCTGCCCTTTTCTGTTCAGGAACTCAAGCCATGTGATCCTGGCCATGTCCACCATTAAACCATCTTTCCAAGCAGTCTCCATGTTTTCAGTGTCTTTTTCCCCACTTGGAGCAGAACCCAGAAGGATATTTCTTCCAACACAGTGTTTAGTCATTTCGATTAAATTTACAATTTCTGTATTTCCTTTTTACCATATTTATTCCTCATCTATTTTTTAAAAAAACCAATATTACCCTTCATCCTCATCTCTAATCTTAATCAAATTCAATTTTTCCCTTCTATTCTATATTATACCCCTTCCTATTGTCATCTATTTTTATATTCATCCTCATATTGGTTAATTATGTAATTATGTAATACAGTTGTTTAATACAAATTCAACATTTTAATATAAATCAATTAGTTATATAACTATCTTTTTTGTATATTAATCAATATGAACATGAATATTCCAATTATTTCCATGCAATCCAATTTCTTACAAATCAATTAATTATATTTACCAATAATAATAAACCAAATAATTTCCCCCATATATTCCTCCAAACCACAACTTAACCATTTCTGCTTTCAACACAATATACAATTAATAGTATCTCAATTATTACAATTCCCTAGTTAAACAGAGCTTTTTTTCTTTTGTGTTTTAAAATCTTGAACCTCCTCTTTTGCCCTAAATTTCCCATTGTTTGCAGTTTTGTACCTACCTTTTTTGGTGAGGAAAAAGAAAAAGAAATCTCTCTGCCTCATTTTGTCACGTTGCAGCAAAGACCCTTCTTTACTTTCAATTTCGCTTTTCAGCATAGCTAGGGGGAAAAAAAATTTGCTCCAGGAATTTACC